GTGTGAAATCCTCTTATCCACCCTCCACAAGTAGAAGAGTGATAGCCCCTCCAGTGTCTATTTCTTCACAGACTGTAAGGATCATAGCCAGATGCGGTGATGTCCACTCCATTACCCCCAAGAAGGCACAGGGGGATATAACCAAAGGGAGCTGCTCCTAGCTAGTTCTAACTAATCCTGAGGCCTATAGATTTAAGAAGGTACAATTGTATTTCTCATTTTACCTGCTTCCTGGAATCACCTTATTGACTGCCAAGGATGGATTTTCTTCTAATCATTGGTAAGTTGTTTTCCTTATTATGTGCAGGTTTTCTACTTGCAGTCTCTCAGCATCACACTTGAAAATAGAGTGTGGTTTTTCACAACAGATATTAAAAGAAGTTTTTGTTTCCATCAGATGAAATATTTAGTTGTAATACACTTTGGCAAGGTAGAGGAAAGGCAGATGAAGAAAATAACCATGAAGTAAGTGTTGAATAAACTGAATCCACTCAAGTTATTTATATGGGCCTTTTAAGCTGTACAGTGCTTTTTTTATAATTGCTCTTAATATTGACTAAATAGGTTTTACAGGATATTTCTCTTATTAACTACTTTCATGGACTTTGTACCAGGCACAGTGTAGTGCTTGAAGTCTGCAGGCTAAACATGTTTTATAGTCTAGGCTTTCTATATAAACAGCTTTCATGGGGTTGTTTGTCAGTGGACTTTGATTCAAACAAGATTATGGCAGGAAATTCTACCTTGGTATGGAAGGCTACAGAGCTATTTATATGGCATTTCTTTGCAGTAGGTTGGACTCTCAGGCATGGGATTGCCTTTTTTGTAATATACCAGTCATCTCCTGGAGAATATGTTCCCTTGTACATCTGCACTAATGGACCTACACGAGGCACCAAGATGGGGGGAGGCTTTCAAAAGGCTGTTTTCTGTTTTGTTTCATCCCCTTCTTCTAGTATATGTGACCTTGGGGGAACGTCAATAAGAGTAATGACATAATGAATCCATTTGTCTGGCAACAATTTATATAATACCTGTTAGTTTAAAAATTAGATGATTTCCAACTCAATTATTAGATTTACAAACATTTATAGACACCACAAATTCTTCTGTTTTCAGCAAGACCAATCGGTGACTACTTAGAAGGAAAAGCAGTGATTTGATATATGTGAAAATTTATTGAACTCTGATTCCAACAAGAAAAAAGTCATGAAGTTATCCATGGTAAAGCTGAGTTACAAATGTTTATAAGACAAACCACCTAGTGTCAGAAATCAGATAGATGTCGCACAATTAGAGCTGTGAAAGGCACAAGGCAAGCTCATTTCTCCTGAAACCATTCTGCTTGCTGCTTTCCTCTAAAGGAGAGATCCAGAGCACACTCAACTCCTGGGGTGGGCATGGAAGAGGAGAAATGCTACCTGTGGTCTTAACCAAATCCATTGTAGACACTGCAGCTTATCTCAGGATTAGTCTTCTTCACCACTCGGATGGAACAACTTTTCTTGTGGAATAGGCCAACACAGTTCACCCTGTCATAGCTCTTGGGGATTAAAACCCTGTCATTGAGAAAAACAAAGAAAATCAGCAGCTGAGACACAGATTGAGAAGGATACTTACAGAGCTACAACCATCCTGGAGCATATCAAGGATCAATTTGGCTCATAGATATACATAACAAGTGCTATGGATCATCATAGGAGGAATATAGAGCCCTGATCATGGCTGCTAACAGATTAAGTGATTTCCCAATGTTTATTCTCAATTAAATGCAATTCTTACTGGTCATTCTGCTAGGGATTAATGTAAATTCCCACACACAGACAAAACAGGGATTAATTCTGTCTTCCCCATTCAAACAAAAGGTTTCTTGATAATAATAAAAAATTTAAAAGGGCTGAATCATCCCAGTATGAATATCTCCCAGTTGAGCCTCTTCCCAGCACAGGCCAACTCCCTTCCTCCTATGGCTTAGAAAAGCCAGGAATATTTTCCACCAATGTTTCCTCGGGTTGTAGTCTTCCTCACTGATCATCTATGGAGCTCTTTCCCCCTCATCTTAAAAAGAATTTTTCCAGCCTTCTGGGGAGATAATCAGTTCACATCACTATATTCAGGAAGACATGGCTCTCCTTGATGAGCCTCCTGTCATCCAGGAGAAAGCAAATTATCAGAACAGGGCACATATGTCCTATTTTGATAAGGAAGTGTGGACTCTTGGCAGCATGGGAAGGATGTGGAGCAGCTTTGGCCTGAATCGATGCTTGCAGGCAGGCCAGTGGTTTGGTGCAGAGCTACAGAAGCCCAAAGGTATATATGTTGTGCGGTCTTTAGGTATTTGCAAACAAGCTGATGCATAGAAGCAAGAAAACAGAGGCTAAAAGGAACCATACACCCAATTAGTGTCCAAATTAAAAGAAGGACTAGGTGATGAGGAAGAGCTGTGTGCTAGAAAGACCCTGTGTCTCATTTTGTTTCTTCCCAAAGAAGTCTGTGTAATTGCCAGATTATTCTGCTTGGCCATGATTAGAGCTAACTGGGAAACAGGAAGAAGAGTTTTGTTCATATGAGCATGAAATTCCAGTGCATGCTTTCAGCGAGGATTTGAAAGTCTGAGTATTTCAATCAGTTCCTGAATAAGCAAGCAGTAATTTGGGTTAACTTACAAGCTGCAGCAAATCATAGCATTCGTCTTACACCTGCATCGGAAACAATCTTCATTCTTCCATACGGCACCAAAAACATAGAGGTTTCTGTTTGACAGACACCCTGCATGTACACACCAGAAAATGAGTCAGTAGATCAACAGATATAGGCCGTGGTTCTATGTTTGTGGACTAGCAGTCAAAGTACTAATTTCTGTAGAAGGACACTGGAGAAGACTCTAACCCAGTGCTTTGCAGAAAAGATATCATGTCTTCACTCCTTCAGTGTGTGACATGGCATGATAAAATGGTAGCAACCACAGACTGGAGGTGTATTATTCTGCTATGGCAATGGATCTGAAAAAATCTTAGCTCGTGGCTATAGTAGGATCTTTCTGCCCTTTCTCATACTCAACATACAGGTCTATACTTGATTTTCTCCCTCTTTCCTCCTTCCCAATTCTTCTTAGACTTCAGTTTGCTCTACTAAACCAAATTTATCCACCAGCTATGTTGTCTTGGCTTTGATTTTACTTTGAGTACCCACTTCAGGTTAGTCAAAGCTGCTTAAAAGTACTTTTTTTTTTTTGCTGCATGTGCCAAGTGCCTCAGTTATACATCATCCCAGAGGGTAACTATTGAACAGGATAGAGTGTCTCTCTGTGTCCAGAAATGCCTCTAGGTAGGTTGATTCCTGAGCATGCAGCTGTTGGATCATTCCTCAGCAAAGAAAGTATCATAATATTCCAACATTTCTAAGAAAAAAAGGCTTTGTATCTCTGAATTAATGATTCAGGAATGTCTAATATATTTGCCATTCTTACCATATTTGCTGGCTGGTCTAAGGTAACAGCGGGCAACACACAGACTCCTTGAAACAAGAAGGGTCAAGCTAAAAAGCAGCAATAATTTCTAGAAAAGAAACAAGAATCTTTCTTTAGAATTAGGTGGGGTTTTTCCAAAGGTCTAGCAAACTAAATTGCAGAATTATGCATGAGTCCTACTACTCTCAATAAAGTCAAATTAAAATATACTTCCAGTGTACACACACACACACACACACACAGAGAGCTGAAAACTTACCATACTTGCACAGGCTGCTCACATTTAATAATGAGGAATAGTGTCTATTTATATACAGTGAAGAAACAATGGTCAGTGCAACGGGAGGTGATGTAAATGTGAGCACCATGGCTGCCAATGGACACCCTAACCTGTTCCAATCATTGATCAGAAGGTGGCACCTCAAAAAGTCTTGCAAAGGCTTGTTTTGGGCACTGGTATACATTGGCATCTTGATCTCCATTGTGCTGGAGTTAGTCTGAAGAAACTCCAGTAGATACACTAGTTAGCACATCAGCAGTGGTGACAGTGGAAAAGTCTGACCCCAAGAAAGCTATGCCTCCAGAACTGGCAGGCCATCAAGGACCAGTGGGGAAAGGGCACATGCTAAGCAAGGCAGCAGGGCACTATTGTTCAACTGACCTGCTGTGAGGAGATCACCCCCAGGTACCAGACAGTCCATTCATACAGTGCAGTGGTGTGGAAAGCCCACTGTCTCAGACTGATTTATTATATTTTTAATTATTCTATAGGAGACACTTTACTTTGCCCATATGTAGTGACCTGTAGGAACTACATGTAGTTTTGTATCTCTCAGCTGTTGAAGCAAAGCCAGGCCTGGGGACTAGAGGCAGATCAACATGACCAGATAGCACCTTTCTGGCCAGCAAAGATGAGCTGTTTATTGTCTTAGTCCAGAAATGATGCTAAGCACTGAGGAAGGTAAAGAAAGAAAAGGTTCCAGTTTCTTTCCATTGTCTGCATGCCCTGCCTCTAACACAGCTGGAATCAGACACCAACTACAGTGTTGTTTCTGCAACAGTAATATGATGGCATTTCCTTCAATACATATCTTACCATAGGTGCTCAGGTCTTTGTGCCCTTAGACCTTTAAAACACAGTATGTGAGGCTGCATCTCAAAACCAGCCAGGAAAACTAGCACAGATCCCTGTGGCTGTATTAGGGCTGCAGGGATTCAGTGCTCTACTGAATTGGAGCACAGGCATAGCAAGTTTCAAAAGTTACCAGAGGATTCCCAGCATAATAAGTTGCATTAATTCCATTAGCTTGGCTCTTTCAGCACACCTGGCTTTAATTAGACACCTTGATTGGTGTGCCTAAACTCATTAGCTTCCACTGATTGACAAACAGCTAGAAGAAGCAAAGCTGCCATGGAAGTGGTTTTGGGACAAAAGAGGCAATGGCAAAATGAGAGTACTCTCCTGAGGGACCTGGAGTACAGGCACAATTGTGGAGGAGGTGGCTGCTGTTTCTTTTGACAGAAAAGCTGATTTAACTTATGTAAGTTTTTTTTGTTTATTTGTTTGTGTGTACTTAGCAAGAGGCTTTAGAACTTCCGTGGTACTTTGCTTTTAGCTTGGCAGTACAGCTGTCAAATTTTGTCCTAACCTCATGATTTTAGTAGATCATGCTCTTACTCTTTGGTAGATCACGCTTTACTCCTCTAGTAATCCTTAAATGGATGAATTTCTATTTGAAGAAGATTATTTACTCAAAATTACTTTGCTAGCAAAGGCAACAAGATGAAAACATAGCTCTTACAGTACTAGGCCCTTAAGTAAGTGATGTGAATTTGGTTTTATTTTAATTGAAACCATTTGATTAGAGTCTAACATAGCTAGAGGCCAGACCCACTTCTGCTGTAACTCTTGACAAATCTTGTGCTGTCTCTTGAGGAGGAGTAAATGTTATAGTGGATGATATCTCCAGTAAGAAAATGTAATAAGCAATTCTGACTTGAAGGGCATGGAAGATTCTAAATTATTCTCTTAGTTAAGATGATTATTTTACTTCATTAGTTAATTATCCTTTCCTCCTTGGAGAGGAATAACTATATTAACAACTTTCATATCATTCTTGCTGTTTCTCAGGCAGACAAATATATTTATGTGTATGAAATTATACACATAAAATAGGAAAGTGAAGTGTAGTGTTACCAAGGCTATTGATGCCAGAAATGCCTGTTAGTTCTACCTCAAAGCATCTTGGATTGTAGAGCTGAGAATAAGGAACCAAGTGCTTATGAAAGCCTGAAACTTTGAGTGAGTTCCCTATGGGGTCTGGAGAAGAGCAGAGGTTGAACTTGTTCATCTGCCTGCTGACCTGCATGGACATTTCCTCTTGAGACAAACAAGGTTTTCCTTGTCAAATAGGTAACAAAGGATTAGAGAGGATTCTGTGTTGTTCAGATGTGAATGAAGTTGTCCTGTGGGGCTGTAATGTTAAGCAAGTGCCCTCTGTTAAGGAAAGGTTAAGGTGCCTCAGCCTATGGCTATGATGGGTGAGAAGGCTGAGTACTTCTGAGATACAGAGACTATGGCAGTTTGTTGCTTTCCCTCTGTACCACCTTTCTTGGGCACTGTTGTGCTGGAAGCATGTGAAGCCTAGTTCTAGACATACTGACTTAGGTCAAACAACTTCCTTCACTGGCTGTGGGGGTATGGCAACAGTTAATGTGTGGGTCTCCTCGGCTTGTGTTCCATGAAGCAATGAGAGGAACATCCAGCACCTCCTTTCTCTGTTTGTCTTGCTTCTGCATCTGTCAGGGAAGTTGCCAAAATAAACTGGTCAAATCATGTAACAGCTTGGCTAAAATAATGACTCTATCAAGCCAAGGAGGCAATTCTGCCCTGGGAACCTTTTTCCAATTAGAAGTATCCAGAGTTTTCTGAGGAGATGCCTGGAGTTGGAGGGACTGGGCTGCAATACTCCTTTGAATCAGAGATTTGAGGGGATGGTGGCTTCATGTCACCAAGACTCTGACTGTGGCATCAATTCCATAATTTGATTATAACTTGCTTACATAGAAAACATTTCTTCAGTAGATTTTATTGGCTTTAGACAAGATCTGCTGTATGTCGATTGCTTCACCTCATGTTTCAAAATTACATCAGTCTAATTACTAAACACTATGATGGGCCTCAAAATTGGGTTAAAGCACAGAAATAAATCTGACCTGACTTCAAAATGGTTCATGCCAATCTGTTTTAGAGAAGTTAGTATGGGAAACTCATGTTCCTTCTGAACTCATGGGAGTGAGATATTAGGTAGGACCCTACCTAATGTGCTTGCAACTCTTGGGAAATCAAATGGATTTCATGAAATTTTGTATTTTCCCCAAAAGCACTAGCTGTGTGACCCGCCCCTTGTCAGTGAGAATATAGTTTGCTACTTATCAGGCATGTGGCAGCACCAGTTTGGCCACTGCTTGTGGGGCATGATATTGCCTTCCCTCTGCAGGAAGGATTCAGGATTGACTTCCCAATGCTTTTAAGTTATACAGAAGCAGCCTGTCCAAGTCTTCTTCCTAATGGAATTTTTAAAAAGATATTTCTTTGTTAACCCTTCCTTTCTTTCCCCCATCAGTTCACACCTTTACTGGTCTGGCATAGATAGCAGTTTGGTCTTTTTTATATGTGTATGTGAGTTTGTTTAATTTAAGCTTGAAGTATTTCAAATTGTTTAGCCTATGTGTGTGTTCCCCTTTGTCCTGCTTGGCTGTGCCTCTGAACACTCTCTCTATGAAGGAAAAATGGAGTTCTCTAATCACTGTTCATACAAAATGCATGACTTCTTTTGTAAACTAGGTAGCAAAATGACATAACAAAAATACAGTGCAGTATCTCCTCTGCCCTAAAGAGAGGTAAACATTGCTTTTTTTTCCTTCCTTCTGTATTAAAATTACAGAGGGAATAGTTCTGGTCTCAGTTCATAAACTTCTTTAAATCCCAAGGTCCCACTTGCC